ACACACACACACACACACACACACACAGAGGCCACCTCCAGGGTACTAAAAATGTGTCGCATTGAGTAAGGGACCCCGACGTGGCGTATCTGCTTCTCTTCCCAACTGCTCGTGCTCACGGAACAGCAAAGCCCTCCACAGATTCAGTTTCCCTCCTCCAGAAAGTCTCCAACCCCCGTCCTTTTCACCCCACCCTTCCAATTCACAACAAAGTTGTATGATTCCTCCTTTCCAATACTCATCTTCTTTTCTCGGGCCCCACTGCTTACACCCGGGCCCTGGCCACAGGCCCCTCTCACAGGACTTATCAGAACAAGCCCGGAATCTGTCTGGGTCCAACCTGGCCCTTTCCAAACCAGCTGGGACCTTGTTATCAGAATGATCTTTCTAAAACATGCGCGTTTACCTAATCACCACGCTCCCTTGTTTGATGGCTCCCTCTGCCCTTAGGATAATACCGGCTAACCTCCTGTGTCAGGCTCCTGCTTACCCCTCACATGCCTCTCACACGTCACACCCCACCTCTCCACCGTCGGCAGCCCTGAGCTTGAACCTCCCTTACCTTTCTCCTTTGCGTCTGGGCCAGCCATTTCTGCCTCTCCTTCGGGATCAGAGTCTGCTCTGATTGCCAAAGACAAGGCACTTCTACATGCTCATTGCAGCTCGTGTCTCCTCTCTCTCCCCAGAGAAATGCTGCACCTTATTCCTACGAATCTCCCAGGACCGAGGACGGGGACGCATAGTTGGCCCCTAACATTTATTTATTGGATGAATGGATGAGAAAGATAATTGCAGGTCTTTTCAGTGGCTTGACTGGACATAAATTCCAGCAGAAGAAAAGGTTATGGACACCCAGGCAGGTGACCTTGTAGATTACTGGTTACCAAACCTTTTTTTTTTCAACCAGGCAAGGAATTTTCACTTCAGGTTTTAGTGCAATGATTTCACATTAATGGTACCAACATTTTGACACCAAAGTTCCGATTTAAAATTATTTTTTTTTAACACATTCTATCTCTGACAAGTAAGTGGCAAAAGACAACACTTTATCACACAGATCTTCCTGATACGGAAACCAGGCAAACTGAAGGAGAGCCTAAGTGCTCTAGCGGGGTCTCTGCTTTGCATTTGCCCCCATTGTTTGGGGCTGGCTTCCTCATTCAGAAAAGTTCCCAGAGGCAAAGCGAGTTTGCTTTAGACCAGCCTGGTGAGGAGGCTGTCCCCTCCCCCGAGCTCTGCTGTCCACCAGGGTAAAGTGTAGTTTTCTGGCTCTTCCCAGCACCTCGGTTTGAGACAATAATCCAGTCAGTCGCCTCTTAATTAAAGCAAATAGTCCCAGCTCACAATAGTAGTTTAGAGGACTCTGGTCTTCGCGTTCCTCCTTGCAAGGAGCTAATTGATTTCCAAATGATAATGGTGTTTACATTAGAAAGCCAACGCCCTCCACACCCGTATTGAGTCCTTAGTGCATCTTAAACCTCCCCAGTCTCATGAATATCAAATGGCCAAAGTACTTCCATTGTGGTGGTGGCTCTCAAGGGGTCAAGCTTCGGTCCCAAAACATTTAACAAGCTGAGTGATCTCTGATTTACATGTTGGGCTCCTACATTTCCCGTTCACCCATAGAAGGAAAATTGCTCGAATTTTCAAGGAACTGCCTTTGCTACTTTATAACCTTTGTCTTGCATAAAGGCCCTCCCTCCCCCCCAACACACACACACACACACACACACACACACACCCCAGGCAATGTTGGGGCAGTGGGTGAGTCTGAACTTTTAGGATGACCTTAGAAGCTTATCCATATGACAGTATGACAGTTTATGGGAGGAAGCTATTAAAAAGAAGGAAAAAATATATAAGCCACAAGACATAGGAATAATGATTCAATGGCATGAAAATTAACATGGTGGGTATTACCATCCGTTTGACATAATTTGACTCTATGGCACACACATGTGAGTATGCCTAAGGATTGATTTTTCTGTCCTTCTTTGAAAGTCACAGGAGCAATGCTTCACAACTCTTGTTCTCTATTTCCATGATTTCTAACAAGTTTTTCTTGCATGTTGGGTTTCAATTAAGCCGGGACAATTTCAAATGTCCCTGCTTAGAAATTCAAACAATAGCCGAAACAAATCATAGTTATTATTGATCATATTCTCAGTCTTCCACACTGCTTTACCCAAATATTGAAATTCACTTTTCATCACATTTAAGATGAGGTTCAGGCAAGACTCTTAGTGACTGAAATGGATATTTGTCACGCAAAGAATTCCCTTATATGGAAACTGAGGTTTGTGTTTAAAGAAACTATTCTCTATGAATAGGTTCTTGATCACAGCAAATTGTTCCAGCAACCCAAAGTGGGGGGGGGGGGGGGGGGGCAACGCAACGCTTCAATATAGGGGGGGGGGGGGGGAGTAAGGGGGGGGGGGGGGTGTGGGGGGGGGGGGGGGTGGTGGGTGCGTGGGGGGGGTTGCCACACGGGGGGGGGGGGGGGGGGGGGGGGGCAACGCAACGCTTCAATATAATCACTTTCTAAGTAATTAAAACAGTAACTAATTTCTCTCATAATTAAAAAGGTCTGTTCATTGGCACACATATCCATCCTGATGACATAGTTAGCAAATCCTTTCATTTAAAACATTTCATATATCACCTCCAATGGGGCGCCTGGGTGGCTCAGCAGCTCAGGTCATGATCTCACAGTTTGTGAGTTCAAGCCCTGAGTTGGGCTCTGTGCTGACAGTGTGGAGCCTACTTGGGATTCTCTCTCTCTCTCTCTCTCTCTGCCTTAACCACACATTCTCTCTCTCTCTCAAAATAAGTAAACATTTAAAAACACATATAACCTCTAATGCACTAGACTCTCCTATCAAGAAAGTCGTTGCTGCAATTCTTGGAACTCTGGCCTCCCTTTGATTCTTAGCTCGACTTTCCATTTGGTCTTTGAGTCCTGCTTGTCGGCCAATCCTAAATACCTCCCCTTCCATTCATTCCTCTTCTGCAGCTACAAGTGTATTGCACAAGGCCCTATCATGTGTCTCTGTGATACGTTTTATATATCTGCACGTACAGCTTGGGATGCTAGCACAATATGTAATACGATATGTATATCCCCTAATTCCGCAGGGGCGATGTTTCACAGACTACGGAGAATTAAATCTTATCAAAATGAAAAGATTTGCCCCAGATCTCTCCACCTGTGCATAGCCGAGTAAAAACCTGAAATAGCTCATTTTCTGTTCCAGACACTGTTCTTTCAAAGACCTTTAAACGCAGGTACAGTCATGGTGAGCCTTAACAGCACCCAAGTGTCTTAAATGTTAGTCCTTCTGATACTCACTTTCTCTCTTTAGGGACAGGAGCATGACTCTACAGCTAAGATCCTACCCTGGAACGGTGAAGGGTTCTGAATTCCTTGCTGAGAGAATTCTGCAGCCAAATATTGTCTTAATAAATGAGTCATGGGCTGGGGCTTGAGAATGTTTGGGTTTTTTTTTTTTTTAATTAGGAAGATTGTTCACTTTAATTATATTCTTTAACAGGATTTGTCGTGTGGGTGTTAAAATAATAGCATGTGTCCCAGGGTGCCCAGGGCTGAAAACAATATGTGAGAGACCGTGGTCTTTGCCCTCAAAGAGTGCATAGGAAAGGACCAGAGCGCTGAGGGGCTTGCCCAGTGTCCTAGAAATCCTAAAGACTCCCTAATCCCTTGTGACTGCTGGGTGAAATTGACAGTCACCTTACAGCACGAAAGTCTGCCCCTGACCATAAGGGACTGGCTTAATGGACAAGGGAAATTGGTAGGAGCCCTGAGTGACACACCTAATGATCCTCTAATGTAGCAGCAATGAAGGGGAAGGAAGGAAACCAGAGCAAGGGGAAACAAATATGCAGCTAAGACCCAGAGCAAGTCACGCCTGCAAGGAGATACATTCGCGAGAAGTAAACAATCGGTATCGATGCTTTGAGAGTCTGGAAAACTAGGAAGCAATTTTCATCAACTCTCAAATATAGCTTTAAATCACACAAAGCTTAAACGTCTCTTACAAAGGAAATTCTCCTTTGAATGAGTTCCAGAAAACCATGAAGTGCTGTTGATAAGGCTGTGCCAATTTGTAAAGCTTGCCATAGTCTCCAGCTCCCGGTTTCCCCTCTTTTTTCCTTTTTCTTTCAAAAAAAATTTTTTTTTCCCTTGAGCTTTGTCAGTCCGAGAGCCTGCCTCCGAGGACAACAAGAACACAAAGTATTTTCTAAAGCTGAAACCTCTTTCCCCTCTCAACAAGGGGGCCGGATGGTGGAGGCATTTGATTTATTCCAAGGAAATAATGTGAAAATAGCATTTGCAAAGCCAGAGAAAGGATTCTTGGTGGAAAGCTCCGGTAGGGATGTGTAAGCCCACTCCCGAAGTTTCTCGCCCTTATCGACCATTGTATTCAGGATTAATTATAGGGTTGCTGGAATCTCACACTTCACGAGAATGTTTACCCACCAAGACAGAGCTGGCTGATTGCCCTTTTTTCACCTAAAGTAAACTCTTAACTAGAGGAGCCTTAACAATCTTACTGTTTTGCTTACCAGTTGGTTTAGGTCTTTTTCCTCCTCCGTGTTGACCAATTATTTTCAATTAGACTTATAATTGCATTGTATGGTTAAAAGGCCCAATTAATATCCTTAAAGCAACAGTGTTAAGTGGCGCTTAGTGGAAATTTTATATTTAGCTGGCAAAAATAATCATGGCTTACATTTATGGAGCACCTTTCATCCTGAAGGATACCAAAGCGCTGTTACAAATTTCATGCACTCCATTACTAATTATGGGTGAGAGCCATTCACCCCAGCACTATGACATCCTGTTGGAAGTGAAGAATGATGGACGGAGGTGGCAGCCTTTAAGGAACATGTTTAAAGTCTCTTATTTAACTGGAACAGCGAAGGCAGTTGAGCCAACAGAAAGAAGTGTTCCGGGAATTACTGGAATATGGTTCTCCTACCTCCGCTCCCGCCAGAAGAGAGGGACAGCGAGTGGCACAAAGGATGTGCATGTGAACACGGAACCCCCTTTTCAGGGATGAGGAGGGTGATCCCCTGATACCACAGCGAGGCTGTGATTACTGGCTCGCCTACAACGAAGGCAAATTCATCACAGCAAGTCCGCGTCGCCAGCCTCGGACAGGCCATCCATCACGGCCAGGCTCTCGCTCCGTCCTCACTCACGACCGCGTGGCTGGCTGGCTTCGGCATCACCTGAGATGCCAGCCGCGTGTGCCAGCAGCTGAAATCTTGAGTGTTCCCTTGCAGGACCTTAAGATATGCCTGAGCTGGGGAGGCAGGGGTGGGAATGGAGGAACACACATCTTAGTGTAGATGGAAGGGCTGAACTGTTAATGCGGGTCTTACCTTTGCTAATATTCCTACTGAGAAAAATGAACGTGATCCCCAGGGGCCAGTCCCTGAGCTCTGGCAGCCCAGTTTCAGAGACCAGTTATTCACGCATTCACTTGAATGCCTTCTGTGTACTAAGTCCTGATTCAGGCCCTGGGCGTAGAGGAAGGGACAAAACACACAGAGATCATTGCCCTCAGATACCCCAGGATGGACAAATGACGGAGACCCCAGGGAAAGCCAGTACCTCCCTCACAGAGGTTTCGGGACAGTCCGGAACACGCACTGGTCACAAGTTCCCACAGCCTCATGCTTCGTTCAAACCGACCAAAGGCAATGAAGGGAAAGTACCCCTCATGAGGAGATCCTAAAACAAGAGGAGACAACAGACGATGTGATAGAGATTGTGGAATTGCAGGAGCAGCCTAAAGGAATGCAAACTGACCAGAAGAAGCCGGGTGGAAAAGAGCAAACAGCACCTTAGGGAGAATTTTTCAAAAAGAACCTGCAGAGGAAAGATTTGATAAGCAGGTGTTGGGCAAGAATCCTGGGGAAGATGCAGCCACTAATTCCTGGCTCAGGTGACCGTTTCCATCTGCAGCCTGACTGGGAGGGGTGGGGGAGGTAAGCATGGAATGATCTGGAATGCCAGGACCGGGGCAAAGGGAGCAAGGGACCCAAGCTGGGAATGAACCGACCTCAGCGTTGGCACCTGGATGTTTCTCCCGCTAAAGCCCAAGTACCTGAAACAGCTGGCGAGTGTGTTGTGACGGAAGAACACCAGAGCGAGGCAAGAGAAAAGCTTCTTCTTCTTTTTTTTTTTTTTTTTTTTTTTTTAAGAAATTCAGGTTTGAGGGGACGAATGGAAAGAAAATTGTATTCTTTCCCAAAAGCACCCAAGGTACCCCCCGGGGGTGGGATTGTGAGGAATGTCCGCAGTAGAGAACAGAGACTACGGGGTGGAGAACAGCAGAAGGTCCAGACAGAAAACCAGGCACCACTCCATGAATCCCTACAGCGGAGCAGCTCACTAGAATCACACAGAATCCATCAGCCCAACCTGTTCTCCATAGTGACTGTGGCTGCTTTGCTGTATCAATTATAGGAAGTGCCACGAATCAGACTGCTTTGAAGTAGGAATTTCATCTTGGGTGATAACTGAGTTATTCCAATTAATGATAGCATTGCTTTCCCCTAGAAGCCTTCAACTTCTCTTACTCTCCTCCAATACAAACTTCTCGGAATGGTTATTCTTAGCTGACGACAATCTTTTCTCCTCTCATTAATTTTAGCCCCCAAATCCATGTCGTACTCTGCCTGGCCAGGCAGACAAAGGTAGACAACGGCTGCTATCTATCTACTTTGGAATGACATGGAGCGACTCATGGAAAAGGAAGTCTTGGCCTGAGGCTCATTCCTCCCTGGACAATCCCTGGAGTCATATTACTTTCACTTTGCCCCCTTTCACAACGATGAGGCCTCTCTTCTTCACATAAAAATGGTTCAAGTCCTAACATATCAAGGACAGTTGACTCCAGAACGTATTTCATTGTCATTTCCAAAGACTCGGAGTCCTAGCAAATATAGTATCAGTCATTCTCACAGCATCTCAACAAAGTGGAGAAGGCATGGCTGTTACAATTTCTATTTTAGAAACAGAAAACTTAGACTCTGAAATAGGAAGACACTTAGCCATTGGAAGATCTGAGAATGAAACAGGGTTTCACACTCTGAGCCCAAAGTTCTGACGTTCATGTCATGATAATAACGATAGTAATCATGAGTCATGTAGAAGGCACTGTGCTAAGTTCTTCATACAAAGTATCTCATTTAATCATTCCAATGACCCCAGAAAGGCAGCACCATCTTTAGCCCCCTTGGCTAAAACTCAAGAGGTTGAAGACAGGAAGCGCGGGAATCACAATTTGGACCCAAGCTGCCTTGCTCCATCATCCAGCATTTTCACTCATGTGTGAGCCAAGCATTTACTTAAAAATATAATATGCTGACACAATTGACTTTGAGCGATGGGTTTTAAAAAACAACAACACCTGTTCATTCATACTCTCATCCTCTGGAGAAACATGACCCCAACAAAATGGCAACTTCCAGAAGAATGATAAACAGGGCCGCTGTGCTGGGAGCGGAGGAGGAGGGAGTCTGATTTTCATCCAGGGGCAGAGGCAGAAGAGAAGGATGTGAAACGAGGAGGAAATGGAAAGGAGGCTGAAAAGAGCTCTAAAGCAGGAACACGGGAGTGGGGGGGGGGGGTGTCACTGTGGACGTGGTGTGCGCAGGGAAGCCAGGCGGAGGCACGGAGGGTCACACATGGGCCCGGCGGCAGCAGCGGCTTGCCCAGTCTTTAACTTCCTACAAGTTTGCTTTCTCTCATCTTCTTCACTGCATCTGCCCCCTGGACCCTCCATTCGAGCCGCTCAGCCCTCTGGGCACCAACCCCAGGTCAGATGTTACTGACTCTGCCAAAATGTTACCTGCCGCCATTTCGGGCTCTATGTCTGAATTTATGGTTGGCTTCTTCTTAGTGAGAAGTCACCTAGACATCTCTCATTTTGAATTCCGAAGGCTCTTAACCCCCGACGGTATTCCCCACGCCCCCTTCAGACAACCATTCCCCCAGACCCTGCGCTCTGAGTCCCTTCTTCCCTCTCTCTTTCCCTTGAAAGGTCTCTCCTTGTCTCAGAACGCATATTTCCTTCCTGGTAAGTCACAGCAGAAGGCTTACAATCCGATTTCTAAACCGCTCAGCGGCTCAGCAACGTTTATTTTGTAATTCTGAGCCTTGTGCTCTAGGGGAAAATCAAGGTGGGTGCCCTGGAGGAATTGAAGTGGGGAGACAAAACGCAGAGAAGGAACTCTGGAATTTTAGGACAAAAACACCTCTCCGGGTATTGCCCCTCAATAGCCACATTCATGTTATAATTGCCTCTCCCTGCTCCTTCCAATTAAACCCTACTTAACCTAGCATTAAACACCCAAGAAATATTCTAAACATCCCCCATTTGCCCTAACTGCAGCCCCCAACCCCTACCCAACGCTGCCCATCAATCATCAAACATTCTCCCTGATTCTCCCCATCTCTCTGCACTGACGTATCTGAAATCGAAAATAAGCCTCCTTTCGGTACGCATGCAGCGTGGAAACCTTCTTCCTCGCAGAGAAACTTGCAGGCTAATTAGGTAACGTTGTTAAAGCAATTCAAAATCCTTAAATTATGTAATCCCTGGTTACTTTTCCTTTAATCTCCTTAAATGACTCTAATTTTATGTTTTTCCTTAGTGGATCGTGTTACCCAGAACTTATAATGGTAGATCTTCTAAATCATCTAAACAGCAATGGTGTTTTTCATTTAAAAGGCACAGTGGGCTCCCGTTTAAGCAATGCTTAGAGGACTTTTCTTTCCCTCCCTAAAAACAAGTTGCTGGAGAATGTTCCTTCCTACTCTCAAGGGGCCTCAGGGAGAAAACCAGCATTAGGGACGAGCTACAACTCAGCTTTTCCAAAGAAGTTTGTTTTTGTTGTTTTCCAATACCGAACGGAGACTACAAAGAGCTATCACCAAATCTCTGCGCAGAGATTGCAGAAAACATCATTTTGTCCTAGAGATTATATCGGCGGCTTCTATTCCTTTTTAGTCTGTGGCTTATCAGAGCTCAGGTGGGCGATGGAGCACGGAGACAAAGGAGAAAGAACATCAGGTATTTGGGACGATACCCAGCAGGAAGATTTCTAGGTGAGCTTCACCTGAGCATCACAGTGTAGGAATTCTGGAACCCTAAGTGTGGACCTATCAGAATCAGTATTCTGAGACTGTTCCAACAAGCCTAGGAAATCCACACTGGGAAGTCAGGAGAGGGTCTGGTTCTGGGATCAAGACCTGAGCCACAGGTGGGCTTGTCACTTAATTTCCCTGGGCTTTCTTTACTCTTACTGATCACAGCGCTAGAGATCACATGGAGATCTTTTCTGGCTCGAAAAGCGGCTGTTATGAATAAAGTTTCTATAGAACGAGAGATTCGTAAATGGGACATGAATAATTCATTTCAGAGAGATTTTATTTTTTTAAGGCTTAATTTGAGAGAGAGAATAAGCAGGAGAGGGGCAGAGAGAGAGAGAGAGAGAGAGAGGGGGAGAGAGAGGATGCCAAACACGCTCTGCACTGTCAACACAGAGCCTGCCGCAGGGCTCAAACTCACGATCCAGTGAGATCGTGACCTATTCAGAGATCTAGAGTCTGATGCTTAACCAACCGAGCCACCCAGTGCCCCCAGAAAGCCTTTAGTTCCCTCTAGGCAATTAAGAAAAGTTTGAGCTGCAATATCAAACACTTTTTTTAACTTTCTTTATTTTGAGAGAAACAGAAAGAGAGCACAAGTGGAGGAGGGGCAGAGAGAGAGAGAGGGGGAGAGAGAATCCAAGCCAGCCTCTGCATTGTCAGCGCAGAGCCTGATATGGGGCTCAGACTCACAAACCATGAGATCATGACTGAGCCAAGATCAAGAGTTGGCTGCCTAACCACCTGAGCCATATCAAACAAAACTTTTACATGGAATTTTAAAAATTTTTTAAGTTTATTTATTTTAAGAGAGAGAGAGCACACGTGGGGTAGGGGCAGAGAGAGAGAGAAGAGAGAACCCCAAGTAGGCTCCACACGTGGGACTCGAACCTACGAAATGCGAGATCTTGACGTAGGCAGAGATCAAGAGTCAGACATTTAACTGACTGAACCGCCCAGATGTCCCTAAATGGAATTTTTAAATTCAAAGTCACCAGATCATACACTGGGACCAGGTTCTTTTTAATAAAATCCAAATGAGGCTGAGGAACTGTGTTTTTGGTGAGTTTTATGGGGACCAGAATATTTAGAATATAACCTCAATAAACATAAGTTTTGGGTGAAAGTTTGAAGAGCTCTGATACAGAACCCAACCAGGCCTTCAGATTAGCAGCCCTAACAGATCAAAGTGCTAATGTTCAAGGTAAAGAGTCTCCCCTCCCTCCCTTCCTTCCTCCCTGACTCCTTCCCTTCCTTCCTTCCTTCCTTCCTTCCTTCCTTCCTTCCTTCCTTCCTTCCTTCCTTCCTATTTCCTCCCTCTCTCACCCTTTTTCTTGGCCTTGACTTTGGTATATTGGAGCCCATAGGCTCATGCAAGCAAACCATTAGAGATAAAATCCCCCAGAACCCACATGAGATTCTCACTGTCTGCAGTGCTATTCAGCATGGTAGCCCCTAGCCACCCAGCCACATGTGGGCATTTATACTTAAATTTAAATTAATTAAAATCAACCAAAAAACTTAAAATCCAGTTTAAGTTTCTCGGTGTACTAGTCACATTGTGAGTGCTTGTATTCAAAAGCCACAGCTGGTAACGTGCTGGGCAGTGCAGATGGAGAGAGAACACTCTTCTCACTCCAGGGCTCTGTTGAACGATACCACGTGGCTGCTAGTTCAAAGGTTTAAGAAACTTCTCTCAGAAATCTTGTGGGTTTTTTGAGACAGGCTGTAGAGTCAGCTGCCTGAGTTCAAACCCAAATACCACCACCATCGGCTAGTTGTGGTGCCCTGGCATTGGTCACTTATGTCCTCTAAACATGTTTACCCCTTGGCAAAATAGAAAGGGTCGTTATACAAGGCTCCTCTTGTCCTTCTGGGGGTTAAATGAGATAATACTACTTGTGAGGCTCAGTGCCTGGGATCTAATGAGCCCCAATAAATATTAAGTATTATTATTATTATTTTTAAATGTTTTATTTATTTCTGAGAGAGAGAGATAGAGACAGCATGAGCAGGGGAGGGTCAGAGAAAGAGGGACACACAGAATCCAAAGCAGGCTCCAGGCTCTGAGCTGGCTGTCAGCACAGAGCCCGACGCGGGGCTCGAACCCACGAACCACGAGATCATGACCTGAGCCAAAAGTCGGACGCTTAACCGACTGAGCCACCCAGGCGCCCCTATTAAGTATTATTTTTAATTTTGATTCTTGGCATCAAAAAATGGCCCTTATTCCTTTCAGTGCTAATGAAAAGTCCCATTTTCTGTCAAAATACTGCTCTATTTTCACTCAGAGATTGAGAATATGTTTCTGATAGAGAAAAGTCTTATTACTTATCCTTCTTCAGCCCCTCTTTCTTTCCATTTGACTCCTTATGTAGAATCTTAAAAATCCTGGCTTAGACCTTGAAATTATTTTTAATTTACAGAAATAGGACCAAGGGCAGAGTCCACACATAATTGTATCTTCATTATCTACCGTTAACTGAAAACTTATGGCCAGTTTTCACTCAGGCAAATCATAGAACTTGCTTCAAAAGCATTCAATGATACACAACAGAAATAAATCTTAAAATCAGGGGCCAATCCATTTTTGGGATTTTTCTCTGAAATACCCTCACCACTGAAATACATTCAAGGAGATGGCTAATATTTCCAAGAGTTTTGAGGTATGTACTCTCTTGGTAGGTACCTCTACAAACTCCTCTGCCTCAATGCCCACACGGAAACCATGAAATCCAATGGTATCTATTCCGACTGTCCACTCACTTCTGGGCCCCGTTCTCTGCCTGCCACACAGCACAGCTAGCCTCTCAGTGAGACCACTGGCCAACAGGAGCCCTGCTCCCGCCTTCCTGTGTTCCTCAAGGAAGGTGTCTCTCCTCCGCCCCATGTAAGCAACATCCACACCCGCAGTGACATCGGAGAGTCCACACCACATAAGCAAGGCAAGTGCAGGTAGACCTGCATTTCGAACCTAAGAAGACCTGCGTCTTGAGCTCAGGCTCAGCCACAGACATTCTGATCTTGAGCACATTGTTCTCTACTCTGAAACGTGAAGGAATTCAACTAGGTGATCACTCAAGCCCTTTGGAGAATCTATTGTTTCCATGGTTAGATTCAGGTTACACAGGATGTCCAATTGCTGCTCTTTCGGGGGGGAGAATTTTTGGTGACTAGAGAGACGAATCAATTAAAGTACAGCATCCAAAGACCACATGGCATTAATGCCCGGAAAGGAAGCTCCAGGTCTCGTCTCTTTGACTGTATGACCTCTCACGGCCCCATCAATGGTGGGATGTCTTCTCTTCCTTGGCGGGTCTGTGGCCCCCATATGTGCGTCTCAGAACCCTCGCTTAGATCTTTTATGATAAAGAAAGTACTAAAATAGTATGAAAGAAAGAGCACCTTTTGTTTTCTGCCACAAAATAAGAACGAAACCAAATTCTTAAGCTGAAGAAATTATAAATACAATCCTTAGTAGTTAGGAAGAACCTTATTTACTTAATAGAAATTCAACTTTATCCAATACGGTTTTCCCTCTACTTCACCCTCATGGTTAAATTACAGACAGAAGAAATCACTAACTTTTTAAAATGTGTTTGTCTTCATAAATATATATATATTTTTATGTGTGTGTGTATATATATATATATATATATTCTTCTTTTCATTCTTCTCCATGAGAACAATGAAAGAGACAGCTTCTTCACACATTCTCATGAATGCAGCATATAATTGTTACTGAGGAGCCACACATTGGCAGAGAGATAGAGTAGAAGGTAGGTTCATGAACTAATTGTCACCTATGCCAATGTAAATAATTTCTTTGACAATGGTCTTAATTTTCAGGTTCCTTCACCATCCACCCACTCATAGTACAAAAACAAGATAAGTAATGACTAAAAGGAAAATTATAAAAATCCTGCCGAATGCTTCCGTGGGGGACCATTACCTAGATTTCCCTCAGCCTTTGCCAGATGCTGGAGGACTCCTGTTGACTTGTGAAAGAGACAGAAGCAACTGTCAGAAACTACAAGTCCCAGCATGCACTGGTCCACACAGATCAAAGAGACATAATTGGACATGATGATATCTTCATTTTAATTAAAAGAATTCTCTTATCTTCAAAGAGCCCTTCAAATACTCCCAGCACTTCATAAGGCCCATACCATTATAAATCCAATTTAAAGATGGATAATGAGGGCGAGCGGGTCGATGTGATTGGATTTGACAATAAATATTGCCCATCGTGGGAAGCTGCTGGACCCCAGAGTTGTTCACTTGGTTCACGTTCTCTTGAGATGTTAGTTGCCAGATGAAACCCAAGAGCCCCTTCCAGATAGCTTTACCACGTAATCGATTACTTTCTGGGGAAAAACAGTCTCGATGGTAGGAAATCCTGCTCTTCAAATCTGATTCTTTAGATACCAGGGTCAGAGTGTGACCCTGTAAGAGCGACAGTTTGCTACTGGAAACAAGCAAAAAAAAGCTTTCACGTTAAAGCTGTGTTGAAGGAGCCCAAAGGTAGGAAAATGGGAAATGTCAGGAAAGCTTCAAACGAGAGAAAGAAATCGTTAATCCCTAGGAAGCACAATATGGGGCTGCCTGAAGTTAACCATCAAAATGTACTCCTCACCAGCCATTATTATAACACAAGTATTTCCTGACATAAACTATTTCCTTTGGTAAGTGCGATGAGTTGACACCGTATTTATCCTTCCATAGGTGAATGGTTCTTCATGATGTTGGGGGGTAATGTCAGGTCGTCACTCAGAAGAGACCCGTCAGAAACAGGATACTGTTATCAACACCCCACTTAGTACCTAACAATCCATTCACCATGGGCATGAAGTCCTTAATTCCCCCACGCTCTTCCCCATGATTTCTTTGTATTTTTTTTCTGATTCGGTTATCACTAAAATACACATTTTAATTGAATTATGCAAGATTCAAACTTCCATGGCTTTGAACATTTCAGTAAACACTCCTACTCACTTACCTACAGCAATGCTACAAATTCTGGCAGAAAATTGAGGGCAGTTCTGACAGCTTCTCAGGAAGAACTTTTTTAAAACTCATAAATGAACTTCACTACAAGGTACTCAGCCCAAGTTCAGCATTTCTCTTATATTTTCCTCCTCCGTGTCAACTTCCTATACCATTTCTGTCCCTTCTTCTTCTCTTTTGTGCTTCTAGACCACACATAGGGGGTTCAGGAGCCAGCTGGAGC